TCATATGCATCATCCTGCTCCAACTAAAAAGTAAAAAAAAAAACCGAGTGGAGTGGATCTCAAGGGCTTGGGTGACCCCGAGCTTGCTGAAGGTCACTATTCCATGGTATTAGATACTGCAATATTGTCCATGACTTGGTGAAAGTATGTTTCACCCAAAGAACAGGTTACCACCCGTACATGAACGCAAATGCTCATTTCCACTAATGTGTTTGTGCAACAGACATATTGCAGTTGCAAACTTTAAATTTGATGGTACACCAACTCACTACCACAAAGGAGGGCCATGCACCTGCAATGCAATATACATTCCCTTTAAACAAAAAGAGGGTAAAGCCCATTTTTTCACACAATGTGCACAGCCAGAAGATTGAAAATGAATAGGGTACCTCAACATAACATGAGTCTTCAGAGATTATTGCACAAGAACTGAATAAGCTCCTAATGTATGGCACAACAGCTGCAAAGGGTGTTTGTTAACTAGGCTACAAAAGGTACATCTTTTATCGCTGACAAGAATGGACTCCAAGCCAAAATTTAGAAATAACGTCTGTGGTGCAGTCTTGCAGCATGGTCCCCACATACAGATAACCATGAAAATGTGAAAGGAAGCAGGATAGACGCTCTGACCAATTCCTGGTGGAGGTTCACCCAAAAACTGGAATACAAAAGCATCTAGGCAGAGATAAGCAGAGTGTCGGCAGGGCACTAGCGCAAAATGTTGGCTGCAAGCAGTAAACTCCTCCAGCCCCAATAAAAGGTTTAATCAGGAAGAATGAAGAGTTGAGGAAAATAGCTGCCCTCCCCTGTAGGGAACCAATGAGACTCTTACAGCCTACGCAACACTTTTAGAGGAGTAAAAGCTCAAGATCTAGTGGTCCAGTGAGACAATGACAACAGCTGCTGACAGGAGATACACCACCTCTCTCTAGCTCTGAACAACTATTCTGCAGAATCTTCCAACACAAGTTAAAACTGGGTTGCTTGCTATGTTCCGGGGGGTGGGGTGTACCCACTAGATGGACTTATGAGTTGAGTTGGACTTATGAGTTGCAATGTACCACCACCTAGAGGAAGGACCTACGTACCGGAAGTCTACTGGGTTTCCCAATGAATCTTGGGAGAAACAAATGTTTGTAGTTATGCATTTTTAAATGATGGTAGTGTATCTGGATTAGACTTTCACACTCCTGTAATGCCCTGTGCATCAGTACCAAGACTGGGAGAGGCAATTGTGTGCTTCATACACATATGTGGAAGAGACACCTGCTGACCAGAGGCATGGAGAGCTACTGCTTCACTGGTCAGTAGAAGGGCCATTATACTCCCCTCTTCTAGGCAGGCGTCTCCTACCTTTGCTCCATTTAAATGCTTCAGCATTCATCACTCTAAGAAGCGTCAGAGGTCTGTGGCCGGTCATGCACTGTGGTTCCATCCTCCATTCCCAATGTCACTTCAGGACACAGCAATGCTTAAGTGGTTAGTGGATGAAACCACACCACCAGGTGGGGGACAAAGGCTCTACAACAACATTTTGCATTTTCAGGAGTGTCTGCTGTCTAAAACCTAAACAGAGGATGCAATGCTTTAACAGAGAGAAAGTAGGAGGCATCAGCTGCCATTAAGATTTTTATTTGGCAATGACTGCAGCAGAGAAAACTAAGGTCACCAATAAAAAATAAACTTTTCACATTACATATTTTTAAAAAAACATGCCCCTCCATCACGAAATATTGGAACAGGGTATTCAAACTTTGCAACCATATGTGCCCACTCTAGAAATAGTCCTCTCAACCAGAGCTAGAAAACTCTGTTGCTGCTCCATATCATACCAGTCCCTGAACGGCTTATACCTCTTTTCTGGAAAGCCATCATCACCCCCCACCTGCTGTGGGTGGACACCAAGAATGACATAATGAGAATGGAAGAACTATGTCCTGTTGATAATCAGAGGGAGGCATTTGCAACTCATTGTTACACATTAACCTTCTCCAAATCCTGCACTTTGTTTAAAAGAGGTTAGCAGACAAAAGGAAATAAAATTAGACATGTTCACATCCCTTTTCTTATCACCTTCATGGCTGAGCAAAATCATCCTTTGTGTCTCACAGGCTCCCACTTAGACACTGCAGCTCACAGTGAGGGGGTTTTAGCAACAGAGCCAAAGCTGTCAGTCCAGAAACAGTACGCAGGACTAGGCGTGGACAGGTGCTTATTGACAAGCTAGTGCAAGTAGACACAGTCTACATGTGAGTGCAATGAATGCAGGAGCAATACAGCATTGTTGCCACACCTTCAGGGAAACCTGCATAAGGTGGAAGTCACGATCATGCTCATCAGGTGGTTTGTGAACTTTGTCAAGGGGAAAACCAAGGGTAAGCACACAATTATTTTATTTTTTGAAATAGGTGGACGCATACTATACACACACTAAATTAATTGTGACCGTCCTGCTAAGTGAGCTCTAATTGGTGAGCATTCTTGCACTACAGCTCTTTCCCCAAGACTTCTCCACAACATCTACAGTGCTCATACAGCATAACAACCCATAATGCAAATACTAGACACATTAGAAGCGGACATGTGCACATTTGCTTTATTAACAAGACTTTTTTTTTTTTGTCAGAACCATAAATATTTAACAATTCAGACGGATAGAATGGTTTAAAACACATACACAAAGTAAGATAATTCCAATGATACCGAGGTTTAAACATAAAAGAACCCTTTTGGTTGGAATTATTAAAATATGGCATATGTATATTAACAGAATACAGTACACAATCTGTTTAAAAACAAACAAACCAAAAAGCTAAAACTAGATCAATTTTTCACAATACCAAACTTCTTCATAGTGTCAGATCAAAAGCACAGATTGTGAAAGCATTTTTTGTGCTCCTATTTTGCAGCTTGAAGACTGTATACGCAGACTCTTTTTTGGCCATGGTCCATTCCCATTGTGAAAAAGGTATGTAGCTATGATCCATGAAGCCAACAGCTGTAGATACAGAGAAGCCCTGACGAATCCCCGCATATCGGCAAGTACATTTGTGCATCACGATTTAACCCAAATTATAACCAAAGCAAAAGTGGAGCTGTTGCCCATAGCAACCATACAAGATACATCTCACTGGGGAATAGCTCCAGTTTTTCATAAACTTGTCACTAAGTTTCACTCACTGTTCTACTCAGAGCACTGGCAAAGTTAAAGCACCTGCCACTATCATGTGTCTAGTTGTTTGTATGTGCTTATGAGACAACTGTGCAAAATTTAGGTCAATGGCTGTGTAACATATTTAGTACCACAAACTGCCATGAATTAAAAATTTAATTTTTTTAAAGGTTTACTAACAAAACAGTGGATTAAAAACAATAAATTGCAGCAGGTTAGGGTAAACACTTGCTAAACAAGACAGAAGTAGTGCAATTCCTGGATATTACAAGGTCAAGCAATCGTCGAGAGAAATCCAAGTAAAGCTAATTTGTAAATGCAATGGCATATAACAAACTGCATAAATCCCACATTGTGGCCATACATTATGTTTGAGAGGGAGATAGAAGTAGGCTGAATAGACAGGTGAAAAAAAGTCAAACTGGCAACACCAATAAGTCTTAACAGTAAACCAGACCCAGAAGAGTTTCCTTTACAGATTTTATTTAATTGCAGCA